GTGACCGGCAGTGTATAAGAATAATATATAAGAATTCAGTTCGTACCTCACAGGAAACAGATCCGAACCCACGGTCCCGGCTTCCGAGCGAGCGAAGACATTTCATGCCTTAGACCGCTCGGCTACCGTGACCGGCCAAAGAACGTGGTTAGTATGAGATTTAACTGCATCTAATTTATCAGGATCCGACAACTGTTTCAGCACTTGGAAAAAATCATATAGGAATTAGCTTTTCCCTCAGTTTGTAATAACCATAGAATGATACAATTGTATCCGTGTAAGTTTAAGAGATTATGTTGAATTTAGATAGAATTAATCACATGGCTTTGTTGCTTAAGAATGAGACAGAATTTTCATATTCTTCACGCTATATTGAAACCTATTTGGTTCTATGGTCTTGAACTCTGGGGATCGAACCCGGGCCGCCGCGGTGGGAAGCCAGCGACTAACCGATTGAGCTATGGCGCGGCCCAAGTGTATACTTGCTGCCATATTTAATTCTTATTTAGAAATATACTGCTTAATTTTTCTTCCAAAATGTTTTCTAACATGCAGCTTCATTAATTCCTGGGAAATGTTGTACAAAAATAGACTCTATGTTCTCACCTCGTGGTTCGTTTACTCCGCTGCAGAACCTGCAACCAGTACAGGCATTGATCTTCTCAGTTGGAATTGAAGGAAATACGTATTTCGGCTCCCTTGTTATATTTCTCACTTTCTCTACAGCCCCCTTGGATCCTGCCATCTGGTTTTCAGTTTCATGATCATTTTACAGACGGTAGGCCTCCTTGGACGAGTGATCAGCTCGTCGCAAGGCCTCTACCTAATCACAGGACAACACGAACACAGAATAAACAAATACGCATACCAAACATCCATGGATTCGAACCCACGATCACCGCTTCCGAGCGAGGGAAAACAGTAATTGCCTTTAACCGCTCGGCTACCGTGACCGACTTCGTTTGTTATTGTTATTATTATTATTATTATTATTATTATTATTAGACAATTATAAAGGTATAATTGTCTCTTGGACAGTTAAGTTATCACGTAAATAAATACACAATTTAAATGAATCTAACTTTTATTGTCTATCAATAATTATCTAGAATGCCGTCGTCTAGGATGTGGTGCCGTGTAGGTCCTGTGTGAACCGACGTTTCGGAAGAACGAATCGCCTCCATATTCAGGGTATAAAAATTCACGAGCGAGGAACCAGCGTGAGCAGGTGGCTGCAGACTGCAGGGATACGTTCCTCCGAAACGTCGGTTCACACAAAATGTATACGGCGCCACATCCCAGAAGGCGGCATTCTTCCTAGTCACGGTCGTGAAAACGTCAAATCTTAAATAATTACCTAATTTGAATGCTGTCTTAATATCAATCCAGCATCCGTTACAGAGGTACACAGCGCCATGGAGCAGTCAAGAAGATTAGAAAGACTTATGGTTGGTAGAGACTTGGTGGAAGTGGTTATACTTGTAGTCTGCTTACAGATTCTGTGGCTGTATATGCCTTAACAGCCTGATGGAAATGATTAGAACCCTCAGGCGGGATAGTTGTGCTCTGGTCGAGATTCAAACCACATACTCCTGTATGCAAGTCAAGATGCCACGATGCTGAGATAAACGTGCTTCATCAACAGACATTTATAATGAATACATACAGAATTACATGCAATATAGACAAAATCTAACAAGTCACTCCAGTTGGATATGGCACTGAAGCCTCTTATTCATTTTCCATACTGTTTGTAATATAAAATGGGCCCATAGCTGCTGCTGTTGTTTCTCCCACTGCAGACAGAAAATTCGGGCAACAAAGCTCATTAGTCTACCATTTGAAAATCTGTAAATAAAGCCTTGACAATAAAGCCATTGAATATTATTCCGAAACACTGGAACAAAATTGGACAAGGAGAAACGAATTTTTAAATTTCAGATGAGAATAATTTTTTGTTATCTGTAATAATCTCACGAAAAATCCAAATTTAATTTAAGTAAAAAATAAAGAATTCTTGTGCAAAATACAACAGGCCTAATAAAACAAAAATTATGAGTAGAATTCATAAAGCCTACGTCCATTTAAAAAATAAACAGTATTATAAACAATGCGTTGTTAATATCTTGTTATTGCAACAATAACATGCAGCTAAGTTAATGGATCCGCACCCAGATGACCACACTATCAAATCCCCCTACAGTTAAATATTTTATTACAGGTTACCGGTATTACAGACTTCATGTGGCCGCAATTCTTATTGTCATTATACAAAGAAGTTACCTTAAAATTCACAAATTTTTTGAAACTTTATGGGCCCGTATACTAAGTTTCACTCGTGTCGCTTTCACCTCGTAAGTTCGTGCGCCCGCCATATTCTTATTATCTACTATAACTCCATGGCTTTATTCCTCAAGCGAACTATACCGACCGAGCGACCGCCGCTTGTCGGCGAAGTTAGTGCCAACTTTAATTGATAGAGGCTGTCGCGTGGTCAGCGCAACGAATGCCCACTGCCGTTAATTTTGGTTTTCTAGACCGGAGTCGCTATTTCCTTGAAATGGCTCCTCAGTTATCCTCACGTGGCTGAGTGGACCCCTTTCCAGACTCACTACTTCACAGAAAATCTTGTAGCGCCGGGAATCGAACCCAAGACCTCTGGATCTGTAGTCAGGAACTCTCATCACTAGATCACAGAAGCGGTCTAAGAAAATATAAACAAAAATTGAGTTTATGGAAGCCTCCACTGACGTGACGTTCATAAAAAATGTAACATCCTTCTGCAGGTATTTCAAGATTTGAAAGTAGGGATACATAAACATCATTGTAATGTAAATAATGTAAGTCTGACTAACAGATTCATAAAGTAGCCTACTACGAATATAATGCCAATACTTTTCAGAGCAAGGAAGGATTGGGACCCATGTTTCAAAATTATCACACAATTTGATGTCTGTTCATAGCGGAACACCAGCTCTGCAAAACCATTGTGTCATCCAAGACTGCAATAAACGTTAGCATCGTAACGGATTGTCTAGTTTTGCATACCAATTAAAACCTATCACATTTCTTCAGCTGCGCCTGTTTAGTCTTCTGAATCACTTCCTCGGATGTCTTCCCATGGCTGGAAATTAGAAGATTCAGTGTTTCCGAATTTTATGTATATACGAGTATTTCCGCTTCTCAGCTTCCATTTGTCAGCACACCTGTGCGCTGCACACAATGTTCATATATTGTATTAGTCTCCTGGAAGGCGAGAAATGTTGATTCCACACTCTGAAACATATTTCAATAGATTAGCAAACATTTTACTAATAGTAATCTTATATCGCACTGTTAAGCCTTCACTGTACAGCAAATTGTGGGGAAAACAAACACACAAACAACAAACAAACAAACAAACCTGTTCCAATAATCCCGGGCCTTCGACACACTATCTTTTCTGAACCCATATCCACGGATGTTGCTGTTGCCTTATCGCTTCAGTGGCGTTTGTGTGTCTTTCCTATGGCCTTGGAGATGTATCTGCCCTCATTGACCAATTCTCCAGTCTCATAACCGAAGAATTTCATATGAATCTGCAATTAGGACATAATCTTTATGACACTGGGTTAGAGTGATCAAGTCAAGGAGGATTTGATTGGCAGGGCTTATAGCGCGCATGTGGAGAAGATGAATGTATATGGGATTTTGGTGGGAAAGCCAGAAAGGAAGAGATCAGTAGGGAAACCTAGACGTATGTGGGAGCATAATATTAAACCTACGGACAGCCTTGTTAATGTAACATGTTATCTGTTAAGAAGACAAACATTTACCTTAGCTCTTTCTTGGGGATTTGGCAGTGGCGGGATCTAGTATCCGTTTAGGAGATCAATGAGAGACGGAATGGCTCAGTCGATATAGCGACGAGCTACCGGCTGCATGGCTGGGGTTCGATTCCCGGCAAGGCAAGAAATTTTTTCCCTTCTCCACAATATTGAGACCGGCCTGGGGCTCACCCTGCCTCCTATTCATTGGGTACCGAGGGCTTCTTCCCCGGTGGTAAAACGATTGGGATGTTTGTTTCATCACTCCCGTTTAATGTGCAGGTCGATTGTTGGAGTTATGCCTCCATGGCTCTAATGGCTTGGCGCTTATCTAATTAACTTCACCGATTTTTTTTTTACCTCTGGGAGACCTGTTCTGTTTTTTTGCAGCCGTGTTGTCTCATTTCTTGTCCAGTTTTGTGTCAGGGGTTGCTGAACTTGTGTGGCGAAATAGATCGTAATAATGAATGAACATTTTGTACCTAATGTTCTCTTACAATGCCGGTCACGGTAGCCGAGCGGTCTAAGGCATGCACTGTCTTCGCTCGCTCGGAAGCCGGAATCGTGAGTTCGAATCCCACTCAGGGTATGGATGTTTGTGTGCGTTTTTCTGTGTTTGTGTACAGGTAGAGGCCTTGCGACGAGCTGATCACCCGCCCAAAGAGTCCTACCGAATGTGTAAGATCTAGAAAGCCCGAAGTGAACGGAGAAGTTCATGGAGGTAGGCCTAGGCCCACTGGGGCTGTAGTGCCAAGGAAAAAGAAGTTCTCTTATGTTACAAATTTCATTCATGGCGATGGTACGAAACTTTAGGAGTGCTCAAGGGAAGTTTAACCCAATCTAAATTTGATTTAGCAGAAATTATGAACGCAATTAAATCTCTGAATTAACTTCTTTATTAAAGTGGAATCCTGTTTAGTCTCACCACGTAGCCTGGTGAATTTCAGGAGAATTGTTACTAACCTTGCTAGACTTTCGAGTGTCACGTCATTATGAAGTGACATTACTGAATTTCTTTCATCAGTGCTAGCAAACCCGTGATCACGTGATGCTTGCATGACGCACCAGCAGTCAACTGCGGTCTGCGCAGCAGCACGGGAACAGTGGGTACCTCAACGCCCATACGAACAAATTTTAACGGCCACTCCCAGAACAATTTCCGAACGGGGTTCGTCCGAACAACCCTCATATATTTCATACAGCATGTTTACGAATGTCTGTGATCTTTCTTCATACTTAATTTCACATGCCTGCTTCTGACATGTTTCTAGTTATCACCTTCAGTCAGAAAGTAAATATGCATTTCAGGCGGCTGTCCTATTGCATTTTCAGGTTCTACAAAAGAATAGCTTCAAGCACTGTTTTGCTACATCTCTCACAGACCAGGCTCACCACTTAAGTGGCGCTCCCATATGAAGGGTTTGCATTGATATGCTCGTAACTATATTGGCAGGGCCGCGCCATAGCTCAAGCGGTTAGTCGCTGGCTTCCCACCGCGGCGGCCCGGGTTCGATCCCGGGGTCTGGTCAAGTGGGATTTGTGGTGGACAAAGTGGCGATGAGGCAGATTTTCTCCGAGTACTTCGGTTTCCCCTGCCAATCTTCATTCCACCAATTGCTGCACAATCACGCTCACCTATCATCTGGGGCTGGTACAATAGGCCAGAAGTTGCCGCAGTACAAGGGACTTAGTCCCACCCCACTAGAATTAAAAAACTATATTGACAAGTGCTTAGAAGTATAATTATGCAGAAATCTGCACCAGCATGATATCCGTAACAAGTTTCATGAAAATTCGCCGATTACTTCGAAATTGATCAAGGGTCAGATACTTATGAGAGTATGTACAGACATGACACCTATGTATAACATGATAACACGAACTTATCTTACACCACTGCGGAAATTAGTCTAAATCGAAGCTGTTTTTTTTAGTTCTTAATCACAGTTCACGTTTTGTTCTCGTATAAATGTATATTTGAGATTTTTTTTATTTCTCCATGAATATCCCAAAGAAATTCCTCAAACTGCCTAAATGTGGCTAAAGAAAAGAGCTGCAAATTTTAGACTCAAGAACCAATTAAAAGGAACGGTACCATTTCTGACGGTCTCTTTGCTTGCGGATTTCTTATATTTTCCCTTCTACCCTGAAGATGGAGGCGATACGTTCCTCCGAAACGTCGGTTAACACCACATATACACGGTGCCAAATCCCAGAAAGCTGCTTTCTTCAAGTATGAGTTGACTACATGGGCACGCAGATACCCCACGAGCAACGTCGCACTTGGGCTGTGGGGTTAAAATATGCAGTCTCAGTAGGAGCATGAGATTTGTATGACTGGATGCATGTGCAACAGGAAAGATTGCTTTATGGGTTCTGCACAGAACTTCTTGTTTACTTCAAAGTCGTGAGACATTTGTCACATCCAACTTGTAAGTTCTTATAATTGTTTTCATAGAACATCTTCCAAGTCATTCATCTCTTAGAAAGTCAACATTTCGATCGCATTCCACATACATGGATGTCAGTGCTTCCGATTCAAGTTGACTGTGAATGATTACGTTGGTAAGGAAGATTATGGTCACGTAAATGAAAGCCAAATTTAGTTTTATATTCTTTATACCAAATCTGGACATAAAACTTCTGGATAGTGCAAATAATTTGTATTATGACTTCTGAGAAAAAAGGTCTTCTTTCGTTCATGTATTTTTCTTTAAATTCTTATAATTTCTGTCAACGACAACGTGAAAATAAATAAATTTCATTAGTGAATATATTTTATTATTATTTATATTGAAATATTGCTATTATTTTAAATTTCATAAAATTTGTTATTTACTTCGTGACATTGCTGGCATGAAGGACAGCTTCTGCGAGGAACTAGAACGTTTTTACGGTAAATTCCTTAAATTCTATATGAGGTTGATCTCAAGAAATTAAACAAAGTAGGGGGCAAAGAGTAGTATCGTGTTGAAATCTCAAGTAGGTTCGGAGATTTTGGAAACTTAGACACTGAAGTGGATATTAATAGAGCTTGAGAAACTATTAGAGAGAATATCAAAATTTCAGCCAAAGAGAGTGTAGATTATTATGAATTGAAGAAGCATAAGCCATGATTCGAAGACTGTTGCTCAGGATTATTGGATCAAAAGAAACAAGCAAAATTTCAGTTGTTACAAGTTCCAAACGAAATAAATGGGGATAATCTGAACGATATAAGACGTGAAACCAGCAGGCATTTCAGGAATAGAAACAGGGAATATCTGAAAGACAAAATTGATGATCTTGCAACGAACGGTAAGCAGAAGAAGGACGTTAGAAACATTTACGAGTATAGAGGAGGAAATGACTTTAAGAAGGGTTAACAACATAGAAGTAACTTAGTGAAGGATGAGAATGGTGATCTGCTTGCAGATTCTCACAACAGGTGAATAGGAGAAACAACTACTTCCCTCAGTCATTGAATGTACATAGGGTCAGTGTTGTTAGGCAGACAGAAATTCATACAGCTGAGACGTTAGTACCTGATCCTAGCCCTTTTGAGGTTGAAAGTGCTATTGCAAAGTTGAAAAGAAAAAATCTCCAGTTAATGATGAAATTCCGGCAGAAATTATTTAGGCAAGGGGTGAAATATTACGGTCTGGAATCCTCAAGCTAATTACTTCTATTTGAGATAAGGAAGAATTGCCTAATCAGTGGAAGGAGTCTGTTATTGTACCAGTTTACAAGAAGGGCGATAAACCTGGCTGTAGTAATTATCTTGGGATATCACTGCTATCAACTTCATACAACATTTTATGCAATATTCTTCTCTCAAGGTTAAGTCCATATATAGATGAAATTATTGGAGATCATCAGTGTGGATTTCGACGTAACAGATCAACTACTGATCAGATCTTTTGCAGTCAACAGATCCTGGAAGTACATTGAAGTTCGTGTAGGTAAATACTTGTCTGATAATTTTCCTGCCCAGGATGGTCTAAAACAAGGAGATGCTTTATCGTCACTGCTTTTCAAATTTGCTTTGCAATGTGCCATTAGGAAGATCCAGGAAAACCGGATGGGACTGAAATTAAACGGGACACATCAGCTGTTGGTCTATGCCGTTGATGTGAATCTACTGGGTGATAATATAGATACCATAAAGAAAAACACAGGAATTTTAACGGACGCCAGTAAAGAGACTGGTCTAGTAGTAAACGTAGATAAAACTAAATATATTTTTCTGTCTCCTCACAAGAATAAGGACAAAATCATGGCATAAAGAGAGCTAATAGATCCTTTGAAGCTGTGGCACAGTTCAGGTATTTGGGAGCGACAGTAACAAATAAAAATTTGTTTGAGGAGGAAATTAAGAGGAGACTGAATTCGGTTAATGTGTGCTACATTTCAGTTCAGAAATTTGACTTCTTGTCTGTTGTCTAGAAACGTAAGAATTGAAACACATAAAAATCTAATTTGCCTGTGGATTTATGTGGGCGTGAAACTTGGTCTCTGTCATTAAGGGATGAACATAGACTGAGGGTGTTTGAGAACAGGGTGCTGAGGAGAATATTTGGTCCGAAGAGAGATGAAGTGACAGGAGGTTGGAGAAAACTGCATAATGACGAGCTTTATCACGTGTACTCTTCTCCAAATATAATTGGAATGATCACATCAAAGAGGATGGTATGGGCAGTGCATGTAGCATGAATGGGGAGAAGATGATCACATATACGATATTGGTGGGAAAGCCAGAAAGAAAGAGACCATTAGGAAGACCAAGCAGTAGG